GAACTGAACTAGAACTGTACCAGAACTGAACTAGAACTGAATTAGAACTGAACTAGAACTGAACTAGAACTGAACTAGAACTGAACTAGAACTGAACTAGAACTGAACTAGAACTGAACTAGAACTGAACTAGAACTGAACTGAACTGAACTAGAACTGAACTAGAACTGAACTAGAACTGAACTAGAACTGAACTAGAACTGAACTAGAACTGAACTAGAACTGAACTAGAACTGAACTAGAACTGAACTGAACTAGAACTGAACTAGAACTGAACTAAACTGAACTAGAACTGAACTAGAACTGAACTGAACTGAACTGAACTAGAACTGAACTAGAACTGAACTAGAACTGAACTAGAACTGAAACTAGAACTGAACTAGAACTGAACTAGAACTGAACTAGAACTGAACTAGAACTGAACTAGAACTGAACTAAAACTGAACTAGAACTGAACTAGAACTGAACTAGAACTGAACTGAACTAGACTGAACTAGAACTGAACTAGAACTGAACTAGAACTGAACTAGAACTGAACTAGAACTGAACTAGACTGAACTAGCACTGAACTAGAACTGGAACTAGAACTGAACTAGAACTGAACTAGAACTGAACTAGAACTGAACTAGACTGAACTAGAACTGAACTAGAACTGAACTAGAACTGAACTAGAACTGAACTAGAACTGAACTAGAACTGAACTAGAACTGAACTAGAACTGAACTAGAACTGAACTAGAACTGAACTAGAACTGAACTAGAAAACTGAACTAGAAACTGAACGAATGAACTAGAACTGAACTAGAACTGAACTAGAACTGAACTAGAACTGAACTAGAACTGAACTAGAACTGAACTAGACTGAACTAGAACTGAACTAGAACTGAACTAGAACTGAACTAGAACTGAACTAGAAACTGAACTAGAACTGAACTAGAATGAACTAGAAACTGAACTAGAACTGAACTAGAACTGAACTAGAACTGAACTAGAACTGAACTAGAACTGAACTAGAACTGAACTAGAACTGAACTAGAACTGAACTAGAACTGAACTAGAACTGAACTAGAACTGAACTAGAACTGAACTAGAACTGAACTAGAACCGAACTAGAACTGAAATGAACTGCAACTAGACCTGAACTGTTCGCTTCGCAGATAAGATCCAATTGTCTTGGAAGACTCAGGCCAGTTGGAAATACTCTCAACTCCAAGCCCTATTCTCTACTCCTTCAAAAATAGACCAATAGCAAATTTATAAAAATGCATCGAAACTACTTGCTTCTCTGCAGCAATATAAATTAAATGCATGTGCGGTGAAAAGATGAGCAAAAAGAAAAATGAATAAAATGAAATTAATTTAAAGCAATTGCTTTGTTTGAGGACAATTTAATCAATTTATACATACAAACTGATAAATTAAGAAAATGACAATATAACAATGACAATACAATACAATTTCATATTCCAAGCCCAACAAAACAAACCCCGAACTAACAGCTACAGCATGAAAACTTAACGAATGCAACTCTACTTGAGGCAAGACAAGAGGAAAGTGACTGAAACTGTTGACTGGATGCATTTAAATTATATGTAATTCTCCCCTTTGCAACATACAACAAAACATGTTGGGCGCTGACATTTATGACAGTGATCTTAACAACAGTCTTTATGTAAAATTTTAAAATAAAGTTTATATTTATAAATATTTCAATATGTGTATTGTAAATAATAATGAATAAAGAAAAAATAAAACTAACAATAATTGATTCTAATTGAATCGAATTAAAGGTGCAATTGACAATATTAACTCACTGACAAAAGATAAAATATAAAATGTTACATTTACCGCCTTTTTTTTATTCAAGACAAATAAAAACTATTAAATGAAAAATATATTTATTATTTATACGTTTACTTACACCCAGCCTCGCTTAAAATTACTTCTCCGAGACTTAATGATTTATTTTCATTAGTAAAAGAAAATACTTGGTTTTCAATGTATATGTTTTCGTACGCTTTTCATTAGTTTTATACAAAATAAACTTGTATGTGTTTGGGTCTATGGCACCCATATACTTATATTGAGTCCACCCTTTTTACTCTCGTTGTCCCCTTGTTTCGCTGTTTCGTTGTAATTGCCACCGGGGTTTTTATTGATGTAATTTTTTCAATTACTTTAATATTATGCCGCATAATAATTGAATATCAATTGAATTTCTAAAATAAATTATTATTGATTCAGCTTAAAGCGTGATTGAAAATTTACAAAAAAATGTATAATGAAAATAGTTATTGTTGTAAAATCTACTTTTTTATAAAAATTTATAAAAATATGAAAATATATTTATATAAAATCTAAAGGGTTTTAAGTTGACTACGTTTATGATTCTTGTTTAAAACATGTACGATTACTCGTTATTAATTATTCGAATATTATTTTATTCGTTACTAATTATTCGCAGAGTTTTTTATTCCTTAAAATTTGTATATAAAAAGCATTTTTGAAAAGAAATTTAATAATTTTTAACGATTATTCGTTCTTAATTATTCGAATATTTTATTCGTTACTAAATTTTAGATAATTTTTTAACAGTTTTTATGCCTAAGCAGCATATTGTTTATATTAAAAGAAGTTTTAGATACTTTTTTATACCGATTATTCGTTTGCAATTATTCGAATAATATTTTATTCGCTACAAAACTTTGTATAATTTCCAATGGTCTTAATGCATTTTATAAAAAGCATTTTTTAAAATAAATTTAAAACGATTTTTTAACGATTATTCGTTCATAATTATTCGAATTATATATAATTCGCAAACAAATTTTGTTTTATTTAATCCATTTGATTTTGGAAACAAAAATGTTGAAATTTTTAACGATTAATCGTTATTAATTATTCGAATATTCTTTTTATTCGTTACTAATTATTCGAATATTTTTGTATTCGTTATGAATGTAAAAGTTCTTACATAAGTTATATTAGTTTATATTACCAAAAACATTTTAGAGATGATATTTGATATTTTTTACCGATTATTCGTTTACAATTATACGAATAATATTTTATTCGCTACAAAAGTTTCCTTTTTTTATACATTTTATCATATTTCTTTACTTTTTATATTAAAAAAAGGTTATTGTTATAAACCTGTACTTTTAAAACCGATTACTCGTTTGTAATTATTCGAATAATATTTCAATCGCTAACAAATTTAGTTTTATTTAATAATTTTCATAACTCTTATAATTCTTAAAACAAAAATTTTAAAATTTTGTGATTATTCGTTAGTAATTATTCGAATATTTTTTTATTCGTTCCAAATTATTCGAACAGTTTTATTATTCGTTAAGAATGTAAAATTTCTTGCAAAAATTATCTTGTCTTATATACAAAAATCATTTCAGAGAGGAAATTTGACACATTTTTAACGATTATTCGTTTACAATTATACGAATAATATTTTATTCGCTACAAAAATTTCTTATTTAGTGTAGATTTTAATCATATTTTCCTATTTTTCATATTAAAATAAGTTTTTACTGTAAATTGTGACATTTTCAATCGATTATTCGTTTACAAATTATTCGAATAATATTTTAATCGTTAAAAATTTTCTTTTATTTAAGAATTTTTATAACTCTTGTGATTTTGGAAACATATATTTTAACTTTTTTTAAGATTATTTGTCAGTAATTATTCGGATATTTTTTAATTCGTTCCAAATTATTCGAATATTTTTATTATTTGTTATGAATGTAAAATTTCTTACAAAAATTATGTTATTTTCTATCCAAGAAACTTTTTTGGGAGAAAATTTTATATTTTTTTACGATTATTCGTTTACAATTATTCGAATATTATTTTATTCGCTTTAAAATTCGTTTAATTCCTGTAAATTTTTAGCATTTTTGTATTTTTTATATTAAAAGAAGTTTTTAATGTATATGAGTACTTTAAAAATCGATTATTCGTTTTTAATTATTCGAATAATATTTTATTCGCAAAAAATATGTTTTATTCAATAATTTTCATAATTCTTGTGATTTATAAAACATAAATTTTAACTTGTTTACGATTATTCGTTATGAATTATTCGAATATTTTTGTTTATTCGTTCCAAATTATTCGAATATTTTTATAATTCATTATGAATGTAAAATTTCTTTAAAAAATTCTCATATTTTCTATCCAAGAAACATTTTTGAGAGGAAATTTTATGTTTTTTACCGATTATTCGTTTGTAGTTATTCGAATAATATTTTATTCGCTACAAAACTCGTTTAATTTTTTTAAATTTTCAGAATTTTTTTTTAATTTTTATAATTAAAAGAAGTTTTCATTGTATATAAGTACTTTAAAAACCGATTATTCGTTTGCAATTATTCGAATAATATTTTATTCGTTAAAAAAATTATGTTTTATTTCATAATTTTCCAAACTCTTGTAATTTTCAAAAGAACATTTTAAAATTTTGCGATTATTCGTTATCAATTATTCGAATACTTTTTTATTCGTTCCAAATTATTCGAATATTTCTATTATTCGTTATGAATGCAAAATTTCTTACAAAAATTATGTTATTTTCTATCCAAGAAAATTTTTTGGGAGGAAATTTTATGATTTTTAACGATTATTCGTTTAAAATTATTCGAATAATATTTTATTCGTTACAAAACTCCTTTTCTTTTTGTATATTTTTTGCCTATTTTTATAATTTTAATGTTAAAATACAATTTTGCTGTAAAATAGTTATATTTTAAACCGATTATTCGTTTGAAATTATTCGAATAATATTTTATTCGCTAAAAAATTTTGTTTTTTTATTAGTTTTTTTACATTTTTAATAATTTACTCCTAATTTAGGGCATATGAAGTTAAAATTTTAACGATTATTCGAATAATTTTAATAATTTGTATTATTTATATATTTTTGATGTTATTTTTATGAAATTTTTAGAATATTTCGATTAAATTTTGGTTGTTTTTCTTTTACAGTTGGGTCCTGCTGCTGCGGGAAGAGGCATGTTTTGTTATCAATGTCCACCCGCTTTACATCCCTGTGGTCCGCATCCACCTCGTTTGCCTACGCTGGAATATCCTTTTGCAGCCACACATCCTTGTAAGTAAACATAAACCTACATATATACATTCATACTTATGTGTGTAAGTACGTAAACAGTGAATCACAAAATTTTATCTATTTTACTATCAACAACAACTACATCATCATCATCATCCTTTAGCAACATATGTCTAAAACTGTTAACACAAAAATCTGCCGCGAAAGAATGAAACAAAAGCCAAAAAGAACAATCCTCAATAATAATAAAATCATTATAAATCTTGTATTTATTCACTTTTAACAGAAAACGAGATAAAAAGCTAAAGATAACTTTTACGCCAAAAAATGCTCTACATGGTAACAGCATCCTTCAACCAAAAGGGAACATTTATTGATAATGTCTATTTGTTTCCCCCTTGTTCCCTTAACAGATGCATTAATATTTTATTCTATTAGCATTACGTTCTATATTTTCCGAAATAAAGTCCTTTGTGGAGTAAGAGAGTACTGCTGCACGTTTGTGTTGCTTACTAGTGAATGGAAATAAATATGTTTAGTGCGTAAAATATCCGATTACCATTTTAAGATAATAATTTATTATGGTGCTACAAATTTAGTCATATTTTTACTACTGCCACTACTACTGCCGAGATATTGTTGTTGTTGTTGTTTTTATTATTTTGAGGGGTTAATTGTTTAAGGGTTGTTTGTTTATTTTTATTCTACTTTTTTTGATGTTAGATCTATTTTTTTTTGTGATTTTTATTTTTTTCGATTGTGATCTAATATTTTATTATGATTTGATTGAACTTAAAATTAAATTATAAAGATTATTTTCGAGTAAAAAAAAAGGCTACAAATATGCTAATGTTGGTAAAATCACAAAAAGTTTTTTTAAAAAGTTTTAGCAAAAAAATATAAAAGATGGAAGATAAATTTTAAGTGAAAAACAAAAACAAGTATTTTAGGTCTTTTATATTCTATGTAGTTTAATCTCTTGATTTTATCTAATTTTTTTTTAATTTTAATTATTACACCGAAACCCCTTTTTATCTATTACTCTAGATACAAGACACTTTGCTGTGAATTAATGCTTCTTTCAAATCGAATAACTCATTACCTTTTGCATTACTTAATAATAATATCGATACTTGTACTATTTAAAGGACTCCTTGCCATCTGTAGAGTTCTATAGTTTCTCTTGGACTATTGGACGTTATTGCTTTGTTAATATTAAAATTAAGCCTCTACATCTACCAAACTAAATGATAACCTATAAAAGGGGACATATTGGAACTTTTTCCAAACGTACTTTTTAAATATTTTATAACATTGAACCTAGATTTAAGATTCGGCACACACGATATACAAATTTTTGTATTTAATTCATATGTTAAGATCGCCCATTTTCCCTCAAAATGTTCACATGAATGTGAAAGTTATTTGTGTAAAATTTGAGGATTTTAGCTCTAATAGTTTCCCAGATATACGAATTTTTGCACTTAATACATATGGGAGGTACCACGACCCCTATTGCTAGTTCGCCAAGTTATTACGGAAATGTTCACATGCATGTCATAGTTGTTCGAGCAAAATTTCACTATTTTAACTCTAATAGTTTTTCAGATATACACCTTTTTTGTGTTTAATACATAAGGGAGGTGACACGCCCCCTATTGCTAGTCCACAAATTTATTAACCAAATGTCGTCGTGGATGTCAAAGTTGTTCGAGTAAAATTTCACGATTTTAGCTGTAATAGTTTCATAGATATAGGCATTAATAGTATTTAATTCACATGGAAGGTCCCAAACTCCCTAAAAAAAAGTCCGCCCATTTTTTTCCCTAAATATTGACATGAATGTTTAAGTTATTCGTGATAAATTTTAAGATTTTAGCTCTAATAGTTTCTTAGATAAATGAATTTTTCTATTTAAATCATATGGGAGCAGCCACGCCCCCTATTGCTAGTTCGCTTATTTTATGTCCTAAATTTTATTGTTGGTACTAAAGTGGCTCCGAAACAAATTTGAGGACTTTAGCTGTTTTATTTTCTCAGATATGTTAATTTAAGATTTTCTTTATATGGGAGGTGTCACAAGCTCCATTTGATCCCCATATATTCATAGACATAGATGTCAAAGTTGTTCATATAAAAATTTGAGGACTCTAGCTGTTACCGTTCCGTAGATGTGTATTTGTATTTGGCCGTGGCATCTCGCCCATTTAAAAATAAAGTAAGAATTTATAGTCGGGCATGTCCGACCGATCATTACCAAAATCTGCAACATTTAACATATTTATGAACTCAAAAGCTCTATTCGGGGAGTACAGTTGTATGGGGGCTATGCGGAATAATGGTGCGATTTTAACCATTTCTAATAGCCTTCATCCTTCAGTCAAAAGAAGAGTATGTGCCAAATTTCATCAAATTATCTTCAAAATTGCGACATGTAGCGTGCGCACAAGGTTTACATGGACATACAGACAGATGGACGGACAGTTGAATTGTAACTGGAAATTCTTCAATTACAATTTAAAGTAATTGTAATTGGCAAAACTTCAATTACAAGTAATTACAATTGGATAAACTTCAATTACAATTACAAGTAATTGTAATTGGCGAAACTTCAATTACAATTACAAATAATTGTAATTGTTAAATCTTCAATTACAATTACTTCAAATGTAATTGTAATTGAAAATGTAATCATTACCTCCCATGCCTGTTAATACCCTACCCACTATAGTGGTATAGAGTATAATTAATACTCCTAGTTCCTTCTGTACATACAAAAAGACATTGTGAAAATTTCAGGAAATTCGGTTTAGCAGTCCACACACAAATAAACACACTTTTTTTAATATATAATGTCGATTATTCGACATTTTCCAAAAACCGGTTTTCGAATAGTTCGAATAGTTGACATTTCAAAAAAACCGGTTGATATTTTTCAAATTCAGAAAAAACCGGTTAACCGGTTTTTCATAATAAATAAAAAAATATATGTTAATTTGAAGAAATTAATGTTTATGATTAAATTTGATTAATAAAACATGGCCCGAAATGATTTTTAACAGTTTAGCAGATTATAACTTTAGATCTAGTCGTCTGATTTACATTATTTCTTTAATATAAAAAAAAATTAGGAAAAAAGTGGACACTGCTGTTAAACATAAGGTACTATGTAATCCTAGCTTATTCTAAAGCCCTTTTAGGAAATTTTCATAGGCATTCCAACACTTCCATAATATTTCAGCGGTAAATTAATTATTGTAATTGGAATATAATCTTAAGATTAATAAAATTTTATTAAACAGTTATCAATTTTACAAATAAAATTTTTTAATTAATTAGGAAAATCAGAAAAGTTTAACCAATGGTGCTTTAGAAAAATATATCCTAGTTCCTGGACTCGAATATTTTTAAATTTAAACGGGCTGTATTATTTACTTCAAAATTTCATTTAAATAATCTTTGAATACAAAGCAAATAAAAGTATTCGAAACCGGTTTTTAAAAAGTGAAAAAACCGGGTTATTCGATATTCGAAAAATCAACATTTAGAAAAAACCGACACTGGTAAAGCAGAAAAAACCGGTTTTAAAACCGGTTGAAAAATCGAGTCGATCACCCTAATACATACATATAGACATTTTATAACAAATTCTAAATATTTAAGAAAATTCATTATTTAACACATTTCGTAATATTAATGAAAAGTCGTAATATAAATGAAAATTCGTAATATTAATGAAAAGTCGTAATGTTAATAAATATTCGTAATTTCAATAAAATTTCGTAATTTTAATAAAAATTTATAATATTAATGAAAATTCCTAATATTTATGAAAATTCGTAATATTTATGAAAAGTCGTAATATTTATGAAAATTCGTAATATTAAGGAAAAGACGCAATATTAATAAATATTCGTAATTTCAATAAAAATTCGTAATTTTAATAAAAATTTATAATATTAATGAAACTTCGTAATATTAATGAAAAGTCGTTATATTTATGAAAATTCGTAATATTAATGAAAAGCCGTAATATTAATAAATATTCATAATTTCAATAAAAATTCGTAATTTTAATAAAAATTTATAATTTAATGAAAATTCGTAATATTTATGAAAAGTCGTAATATTTATGAAAAGCCGTGATATTAATAAATATTCGTAATTTCAATAAAAATTTGTAATTTTAATAAAAATTTATAATATTAATGAAAATTCGTAATATTAATGAAAAGTCGTAATATTTATGAAAATTCGTAATATTCATGAAAATTCGTAATATTAATGAAAAACCGTAATATTAATAAATATTCGTAATTTCAATAATATAATAGTAATATAATAGTAATGAAAATTCGTAATATTAATGAAAAGTCGTTATATTAATGAAAACTCGTAATTTTAATGAACATTTTTGTGGATTTAGAATAGGAATATACTATGTATGTAAATAAAGGAACATAAAACGATAAAGCACTATATAAAATTTTTCCCAACCAAATTTTCTCAGTAAATGAGCGCACAGCAGTTCTCCACTAGTGGCCTAGATGTATTTCTTCAGATTTGTTTTATCATACATTTATTTTCCAACCTAACCTAAAGGTATTTAACTATATTATTATATTAATTTTTAAAGGAATTTTAAATTTAAACAAAAAATATTATTTGAACAGATTTCCATATCAAAAATAACTATTAAATTGTTGGTAAAAACGAAAGACAACAAAAATTTTCAAACTTTAATTAAAGGCTGTAACATGCCGCTACTATTATTACTAAAACAAAAACAAAAAACGATTACATATGAAAAATCATATTTCCCCAGGAAAATTTCAAAGGCGGTTACATAAAACAAAATTGTTTTTGACAAAATTTACGGTTTAATTTTGGAAAATTTACTTGAATAAATGAATTGATTATAGAAATATTTTTATATGATTTTAATTTATAAAATATTTACATAAATTGTAACATATAAATTAAGATAAAAATACATACATACATACAATTTATACATATTTATGATAAATATGTATGTG